ATTTAATATTTAACAAAGGAGTTGTATCATCAGCGATCACGTGACAATATTGTTATTTTTTTCCAGATGAACGTGAGTTCTTCACGAATAGTCTGAATAAACACTTCCAGTTCATTTTGTTACATTTGTGGCGAATACTCTTTGTAAAAAAATAAGATAATCATAGATTCCGTACAGCAAGTTTATCTTGGAGAACACGACGTGTGTTCCATTACGAACTTGAAATGTCTTATCGTACAATCAGTGTTTTCAAATGTAGTAATTAATGGTATCTGAATTATCTTTCAATGTTAAACTGTTATTATATAGAATAAAACGCTAGAATGTATTGCATGCTTTTGCATGATCTCAAAAATAATTTCAATGCGATATGTAAGTTAGTCCCGCCTGATCAATATATTTCTAATATCTTTGATGTTTTTCAATGGGGTAACGAATATATAAAAAAAACAGAGAGAATCGAGCAAAAGTGAAGATGTATCGGGAAGCAGCATCGTCAACTTACTCTATAATCACTGTAATATTATTGGCCAGAAAATGAGTGTTGACCAGTGATTATTATTGTTATTATTATGATTAATATTTTATAATTATTGACCTTTTTCAGCTGACATAAACCTGCCACACGCCATGCTGACCAACTGTTGTCACTGTCAGCTGGGTGCTGACCACTGCTGTCACTGTCAGCTGGGTGCTGACCAACTGCTGTCACTGCACTGCAGTGCTGACCAACTGCTGTCACTGTCAGCTGGGTGCTGACCAACTGTTGTCACTATCAGCTGGGTGCTGACCACTGTTGTCACTGTCAGCTGGGTGCTGACCAACTGCTGTCACTGTCAGCTGGGTGCTGACCAACTGTTGTCACTGTCAGCTGGGTGCTGACCAACTGTTGTCACTGTCGGCTGGGTGCTGACCACTGTTGTCACTGTCAGCTGGGTGCTGACCACTGCTGCCACTGTCAGCTGGGTGCTGACCAACTGCTGTCACTGTTAGCTGGGTGCTAACCACTGCTGTCACTGTCAGCTGGGTGTTGACCACTGCTGTCACTGTCAGCTGGGTGCTGACCTCTGCTGCCACTGTCAGCTGGGTGCTGACCACTACTATCACTGTCAGCTTGGTGCTGACCTCTGCTGCCACTGTCAGCTGGGTGCTGACCACTACTATCACTGTCAGCTGGGTGCTGACCAACTGCTGTCACTGTCAGCTGGGTGCTGACCAACAAACGTCACTGTGAACTGGGTGCTGACCAACTGCCGTCACCGCCAGCTGAGTGCTGCCGACTGACAGCTCCCAGCACCCAGGGGTTGATAGCCACTACGTCAGCTACTGACAAACTCTGTCAATTAAGTGACCAGCGACACGATCAACACCACCTCCAGACATGACCTTAGTAATTTTAGGAACATAAGAAAGGAAGATGGTAGGAGGGCTGCCTCAGACCTACTTGCCTATGGTAGGAAGGCCTACTGGCCCATGATAGGCAGGTCTAACTCACACTCAGGAGAGGCTGGTGTGCTTTGAGAGGGTTGGTCTTTGGTGTGTGTGAGAGGGGAGAGAGAGAGAGAGAGAGAGAGAGAGAGAGAGAGAGGGGGCCATCAGCTTCGTACGCAGTAGAGATAAGCTTTATGTTGAGAGAGAACGCATGCTCCCTGCTCTCTCTCTCTCTCTCTCTCTCTCTCTCTCTCTCTCTCTCTCTCTCTCTCTCTCTCTCTCTCTACACAAGGTTCAACAAGGTTAGGTTAAGGATTCCTAACATTATTTACAAACATAAGAGTTGTTACCTACATCAGCTTTTTCGCAGCATTTTTATTGTTATGTAACATACAAGTATGGAACAGGATGAAAATGGAGCCATCTGTGGGCCATCTGTGGGCCATCTGTGGGCCATCTGTGGGCCATCTGTGGGCCAATTGTGGCCATCTGTGTGCTATCGAATGGTCCATCTTAATCCCATCTCTGCCTCTGTGCCATCTGTGCCATCTTGCCATCGATTTCATTTATCAGCTTGACTTTATTATCGTTGATATGATTATCTATCGAAATATATCAATTTAATACTTCTCTCTCTCTTCTCTCTCTCTCTCTCTCTCTCTCTCTCTCTCTCTCTCTCCGATTTTCATTACCCATTGAACGGGAAGCGCTAAACCTGTAAGTTTATTACTCTGAATAATGTGGAGGCAATCAGATTCGAGCCATGAAGAGGAGAGTTACTCCAGTTCCTCAGATCAAGAACCTTTCACTTACATCAAGGGACCAGCAACCAATCCTCCCTCCTCCGACCCCTTCCCACTAGGTATTCAATAACCCCCCTCCCCTCCCATCTCCTCCCCTCCCATCTCCTCCCCTCCCATCTCCTCTCCTCCCATCTCCTCCCCTCCCATCTCCTCTCCTCCCATCTCCTCCCCTCCCATCTCCTCCCCTCCCATCTCCTCCCCTCCCATCTCCTCCCCTCCCATCTCTTCCCATTCCATCTCCTCCCCTCTCATACCCTCCCTTGTAATAAGGATAATCCCCCTACCTGTCTTAATTAACCACTATTGCTTTATTAGCCTAAATTACTCAGGCACTTCGCGCCCTGTTATCCCTAGATGTTAACCTTAATGGTGGGGAGGCAGGCAGGGAGGCAGGCAGGGAGGCAGGCAGGGAGGCAGGCAGGGAGGCAGGGAGGGAGGCAGGCAGGGAGGCAGGGAGGGAGGCAGGCAGGGAGGCAGGCAGGGAGGCAGGCAGGGAGGCAGGCAGGGAGGCAGGCAGGGAGGCAGGCAGGGAGGCAGGCAGGGAGGCAGGCAGGGAGGCAGGCAGGGAGGTAGGCAGGCAGGGAGGCAGGGAGGAGGCAGGCAGGGAGGCAGGCAGGGAGGCAGGCAGGAGGCAGGCAGGGAGGCAGGCAGGGAGGCAGGCAGGGAGGCAGGCAGGAGGGCAGGCAGGGAGGCAGGCAGGGAGGCAGGCAGGGAGGCAGGCAGGGGGAGGCAGGCAGGAGAGGCGGGAGGCAGGGGGAGGCAGGCAGGGAGGCAGGCAGGGAGGCAGGCAGGGAGGCAGGCAGGGAGGCAGGCAGGGAGGCAGGCAGGGAGCAGGCAGGCAGGCAGGAGGCAGGCAGGGAGGCAGGCAGGGAGGCAGGCAGGGAGGCAGGCAGGGAGGCAGCAGGGAGGCAGGCAGGAGGCAGGGAGGAGGCAGCAGGGAGGCAGGCAGGGAGGAGGCGAGGCAGGGAGGCAAGCAGGAGAGGCAGGCAGGGAGGCAGGCAGGGAGGCAGGCAGGGAGGCAGGCAGGAGAGGCAGGCAGGGAGGCAGGAGAGGAAGAGAGGAGGCAGCAGGGAGGCAGGCAGGGAGGCAGGCAGGGAGGCAGGCAGGGAGGCAGGCAATGAGGCAGGCAGGGAGGCAAGCAGGGAGGCAGGCAGGGAGGCAGGCAGGGAGGCAGGCAGAGAGGCAGAAAGGGAGGCAAGCAAGGAGGCAGGCAGGGAGGCAGGCAGGGAGGCAGGCAGGGAGGCAGGCAGAGAAGCAGAAAGGGAGGGAGAGTAGCACGGAAGATTGGGGAGAGGTAGGGAGGAAGGCAGGGAGGGATGCAGTGAAGGAGATAAGGAGTGAAGGAGATAAGGAACGAGTGAAGGAGACAAGGAGGGAGTGAAGAAGGTACGGAAGGAGCGATGAAGGAAGTGAAGGAAACAAGGAAGGAGTGAAGGAGATAAAGAAGGAGTGAAGGAGACAAGGAAGGAGTGAAGGAGATAAGAAAAGAAACAAGTATTAGCCAACTTACCTAGTTGTGCTTGCGTGGGTCGAGTCACAGCTACAGGCCCTGCCACTTGACTCATAGGGAGAGGTCTGAGCACGGCAGTGAACCTACACAGGTCTGGAGTCTACCTACCTGGAGTCTACCCACCTAGAATCTATCCACCTGGAATCTACCCACCTGGAATCTACCCACCTGAAATCTACCTACCTGGAGTCAACATATCTGGAGTCTACCCACTTGGAGTCTACATATCTGGAGTCTACCTACCTGAAGTCGATTTCAACGGTGTTACTGTCCTGCCCCAGACCAGACCTCCCAATAATGGTGGTAGTTAAGGTAAATTACATATTACTGTTGCGTCTGTTTCTTCCCACTTCACTCTTCCCTTACCCACCTCCCCTCTACGTGGATGCCAGAATCATCCACCTCACTCTTCCTTCCCCCACCTCCCCTCTACGTGGATGCCAGAGTCATCCAGAGGTTTCAGTGAAAAAAAGCTCTCTCCCTCAGGGCACGGTACTCGCCCCATTTCTCTTTCTCATAACCCACATGAACTGTGACATAAACCATAACACTGTCATTATATACAGACGGTACAAGAATTTGTACGAGTGACATTCATGAGGAAATTCTCATGCATGTTAGTGGCTTTCTTTGTACTTAAGAATAATTTATTATATGTAAACTACGGTTTGTATACTACACGAAGAAATCAAAAAAATTAATTTTGAGTTTGATGGAAGAGACAGCGAGCCTTTAAGCTGATGTTGTAAGTTGTTCACTTACAATGTTGCTGCCAGTGGTTCACTGACAACAGTGTGATGTTCAACGAGGATAAATTCCAACTGTTACGTTACGATAAAATCCAGAGTACAAGACAAACACAAATCATACAACAGAGTGTAAGTCTAATGTGAGAAACTTGGGAACATCAATGTTATAGGATGTCACTATCAAGCAGCACAACCTCATGGAAGGTGATAGGTCGGATAATGAGAACTTTCAGAACGATACAAGTCAAACCAGTATCGATAATCTTCAGCTCACTCGTGCTCTCTAGGTTGGTTTATTGCAGGAGCGGTGACTGTACAGAAAACTTTCACAGTTTATATAACCTCGGTCCTTTGATATACCTTTGATGAGTTCCTAGAGTTTTTCTACTCCCGGAGCCCGGCCATGGGCCAGAACAGTTTAGTGCTTGCCTGGTCAACCAGGCTGCTGCTGGTGGTGGCCTGCTGACCCACATATCCATCACAGCCTGGCTGATCTGGCACCTGGAGAATGTGCTTATCCAGGTTTCTTCTTGAAGACTTTTGCACTTGTCCCAGCAGGGTTTCTGGTAGCCCTTAAAAGTCCCTCGAACTGTACTCCTTATAACGTAGGCGAGAAAGATACATCATAACCTACACCTGGAAGATACTGGAGGGATTGGTCTCAAACCGGAACATCGAACTGAACATCGAACTCACTCCTTATGAAAGGACGAGGATTGGCAGACGGTTCAAAATACTTCTTATGAAAAGCAGGGGCGCGATGAGTACACTGAGAGAGTTCAGTAAATGCAAGGGGACCACGGCTCTTTAACGTCCTCTCATCACACATTAGGGGACTTACCAACAAACCCCTAGATGTCTTGAATAAGGCACTAGATAAGTTCCTCAAGTCAGTTCCTAACCAACCGATTTGTGGTACATATGTTGGACTGTAGGCGGTGAACACCAACAGCCTGATAGTTCAGGCCAGCAACCAGAAGGCCTGTGGGTGATGAACCCCTACCCCTGAAGCGACTACAGGTAACTGAAGGTATCCACTTCCCTCTCACCTCCTCCACCTTCCCTGTACGTGGAAGCTTCTACCATCCACTTATATTAGTTGTAAATGCTCACATTAGTTCCACATTCCAACGTTTTCACAGTCATACCAGACCTGCCGCCATTACGCCTCAAACACCTCCGATTCCCTGCACTAACTTCGACTTTAGCTTCGACTTCTAACAGAAAAAACAATAAGCATCTCTTTCCCGTCCCTAAGCTAACACTGGCCGCTGTTTTTTTTTTCTAATTTGGGTCGTGAGTGGGGTTATCCAGGGTCTATATTGATGGGGAGTGTCTAAATATGCTGGGGAAGTGGGCATGGTAGAACACGAAGTTGGGGATGCAGTAGACCCAGACATAACGGATGGTGATGTTGCTGGTGTTGGGTGCTGGTTGATGTTTAAACCACAATATTTACTCATTTCCCGGATATAACTCACCCATTATTCATTAAATGAAAGAATAACGGTCTGGTATATAGGAGGACGGGAAGGAGGTTGTGACTTATTGATGGGAAACTAGGACTGTACAGTGAAAACTCTTCGAGGTGGT